ATCCGGTGGTCGATGTTGAACATGCTGGTCAATCACAGAGACTCTGCCGCTTTCGTCGCGCTGGTAGAGCTGGGCTTGGCTCGGCGTGAAACCGCACCAGTCCTCCATGAGCGAGAATGAGGACTTGCGGGCCTCAAAGGTAATCCAGCGAGATGGGTCGCGAGACCGGTTGATCCCTAAATACAGCTCCTCCATGAGGCCACAATAATGGCGTCGTAGCTTTTGGAACTGCATATCATGCTGGACCTCACCGTCCATCAAGAAGAGCTTAATATCCCGGGCCTGGCTCACAAGTTGATTAAGAATCCAATCGTCGTTGTACACCTCTGGAAGTTTCAAAAAATGACTCGTCAGCCGGTAGACATGCGCCGCTTCGGTCCGCAGAGTGTCAAGTTTCTTGTTACGGCGGGGGCTGCTGTTGGTACGTTGGTGGGAACGACCCTTCGCTTCGTCAAAGAGCCGGTACAGGTGACCTTCAAGCTCCTCCAGGAGCGCACGGTAGATGCTGAGATTAATTGCTCCCATACCGGTGACGATGGATTCTCGAACGGACGTTGAAGTCGCAGACAGCAAGGGGTTGAGATACTTGAAAAGGTTCCTCGCCGACACAATCTTATCGGGGTTGGGAGGAGACGACTTTGAACCCTTCCGCCCGTGCTGGTTGGCTCGCGATCCGTTTGGGGGCAGATCACCACCGGAGTCAGGGAGTGTCGAGAAAGCGAAAATGAGATACAGCGTCCACTGTTCGATAAGAAGTTCCGGCTGAGTTGTTGGCGTCTGATTAATATTGTTGAATCGAGGAACGCCCTGGTCGGTTCCTTGGTAAGGACCCCGAACTGGCTCCGACATTACCGTGACCGCTTTGTACATTTGCAGGATACGATTGCAGATCAAGTCACGGCCGATTGTGACAGCGAAAAGGCATCGCTCATTAATCACACGGATTAGGTTCGGGAAGACCTTGAACCACAGAGTGGCATCGTAGGACAAGTCGCTGGCACACAGCTCAATCACGGCGCCCTGGCTACCGCTGTTCTTCAGGCCACGCTGCAACCGACTGCGCTCAGCCACAGTCAAGTACTCGTCATTGAAGTTCATGATCTGGGACGATTCGTTCTCAAGTATGTCAATGACGCGCAAATTGTCCTTGTCATCTGACTGCGGCTTACCAAGAGCCGCGTCGAACTTGGAGATGAGCCGGAGCACAGTGATGGCAAAGTTGCGAACCCTGCGCGACTGCGAGCACAGGAAGAACAACCCGTGGGCCTCGATCTGGTCGACCTCGGCCCAGATGCTGGAGAGATCTAGTTTCATGCCGCGCTTGTCTGCCATGGGGTTTCCGGGCTCTCCTGAGTCGACCGACGTCATGTCCTTGGTCTTGCGCTGAATCTCTTCAATCCAGATCTGGAGAAGCTCGACGTACAGGCGAAGAGTATTCTCAATGTGGTCAGCCCCCAACATGCCGCCATCGGACATGGTGGAATAGCGATCATCAAAATTGAAAATAAAGCGCGAGAATCCCGTGGTGACCGGCTGAGCATGCGACTGGCGCGCAATGGCCTTGAGTGACTGGGCAGAGGACTCGGCAATATTCGGCTGAATGTGCGCTGTGCCCGTGCACAAGAGGTTGATCAAGGAGTTGAAGGGAATGTCTGGTGACAGACACCGAGGCAGAGCCTGGACGGCGACATGGAGAAGCTCATAGAAAGGTTGCTTCTGATCGACCGGGTTCGGGTGCTCATCACGTCTAGCAAAGTTGAAGGTCTCGGCGATGGGCGTTTTTGGACCCGGACTGCTGAATTTCTCGTCCAGCGCAGCCTGCCCTCCAAACGTATTATCGCAAATGATTGTAATCTTTCCAAGAATCTCACAGAAGCGTGCATAGTAGTCACGGACGGTGTCCGTCAGTACATTCGTCGCAACAGGCCTCGAGAACTGATCGTCGAGGCTGTTCGCGCTGGCGGTTGTAGACACAGAAGTGGCTCGTAAGCGAGCACTGGCATTGGCCATCCCGCCGATAAAACCAGCCGAAACAGGCGAGCCGAGTGTAGGTGATGTCGGCATACGGTCGGAGGGAGACGTCGAGTAGCTCTGGGGAAACGGAGGGCGTCCGACCGCGCCACGCTCCAGATCAGAGATGACAGCCAAGAAGGCACGGATGCCGACAACAATCCGATCAGGTTCTAGGTTTTCAACCTTGAGATCGCGGTTGGCAGTGAACAACTCGGCATTGATGAGGGGGAAGATGATTGTCTTGAAGCAGAACTCGGGGTGCTTGAAGCCAATGAATCGGATGATTTGAATTAAGGGGTCAACCACGGCCGTGTCTGCCGCCACTATTGACCGTCTTGTGCTTGGAATAATCAGCTTCAGAACCTCCTCAAGCTTCCGAATGGTACCCGATACAGAATCGGTGGTGCGGTAGAGATACGTCCACACGATACGGGACAAAACTTGGAGCGAAAGAGGTTTCGAAGCACGGTCTTTTAGTCTTGTCTGCAAAGGATACACAAGCTGGAGCCACTGATTGCCGAAGCTGTCTGGTGGCGATGTGCAAAGCATCGTGGCAGTCAGTGGGAACGCACAAGCCCAATGACGGGGCTTGACGAACATCTGGGCCAGACGAGGACTGATGGTACTCAAGACGTCGCCCCATTTGGGCCGGCCGAAGTCGCTGTTGCTTGCATTGGCGGCCACTGGCAAAAGAAGCAAGTCAAAGATCTGGCAAAAGGCAGCCTTGACCTTTTGGCCATGACAGCGACTGTAGAGCTTGCCGAGTGCAACCATAAAGTCGCACGACTGGTCCCATGCGCTGGCTGGCGCAAGTTTTAAGCGCAGGTGCTTCATACCGCCAAGGACCAACTCCATCTTCTCCTCACTGTCGCTGCGGTTGACGAGCACGGGACTGCGAAAGTTGATTTCTTGTTGAGAGCGCTCTAGATCGTTGATGAACCGGTCAGTCACGGTCGCAAAACTGATTTCGCTCATGGCACCGAGCAACTGGGCGAAGAGGCTCCAGTTGGCCATGCGGAGCGGGGATACCATGAGCTGCTCGGCGTCGGCCATCTTCAGCTGGCCAAAGATGATGGCTTCGAGTTTGTCTTCCATTTCCGGGGTGATGGAAGCCAGATTGCTCTGGGTAATCACTTCGAGCAGTACGCGGCACAAGACGTAGATGGACACTGTCGACTTGCGTTCTGCTTGTGCGACAAACTCCTGCTTTGCTGAGAGAGCTGTCGGGTTGGCCAAACTGTTCTCGGCGACGCCGGGCGACGATAGTGTCTGGACCGGTTCGGTGTTTCGCCGTTGTAGAGGCACAGGACCAATCTGGGCGCGAGCCTGCTGCAGTTGACTGCGCGCCTCGTTTGCGGCATCGCTTTTGCTTTTCCGCCAGAGCATCATGATGTCGATAAGCGGCTTGGGCTTCTGCCTGGCAATGTGACCCAGAGCTTCAAGGTGCTGGTCGAAAGCGGCGTCCGCACCTGGGCCGCAGATGCTCTCAATGGAGGGCTCTGAGTCTAGTGGTCCGGCAACGCACTCGTTGAGCTTCTCCTCAGCAATGGAGATGAATGACGTAAAGAGAACATGGAGTGCATATTCGCCAACAGTTTTCTGCTCTTCTTTATGGTGCCTAGAGTGAGATTGGTGGTGGCCATGGTCGTTGCGATACTTCCCACTGTACATGCGCTCGAGTTTCCGTGGTGGCGCATATGCAGAGTTGCCAGCGTCTGCGACAGACGACGTCCGCTCCGGGACAGCCGATCCAGCGATAGCGTTTGGCGCGGGCGTGGGTGCCAGCCCTGACACGGCTGTGGAACCAGACATCGCGGTAGGAGGGCGTGAGCTTTGGTTTGTATTCGGTGTGGGGGCGAGTGTGCCAGAGGGCGGGGCAGATGGTAGGGCAGAGGCGCCCTCGAGGCGAGAAAAAGAGTTTTGAGGGTCGGACGGGCTGGAATTGAACGAGGCACCGGCAGCAGCGATCATCTGCGGGCTCAATGGACTGGACGACGAGCTTGCCAAGCTTCCGTTCCGCGAGTGCTGGATACCATGCACGATGGATGTCTGGCGATGGTGACCATATGCAGCAGCCTTGGGGTCAACAGCCCGTTCAATGATGCCGTTTAAGGCGACGCGAGAGGACGACGTGTGTAGTTGGAAGCCGGTAGAGGATGCAGAGGATGGGGATGTTACAGTTTGTTGTTGCTGTGAAAGCTTTTCGGCACTGGATTCACGGGAATGGGCGACTCGGGAGTGTGTAAGCCGGGGTGCGGTTGTGGGGATTTCCACGGGGCCGGGCCGCAGGGTTCTGTTCCAGTCGTCTTCTTCGTCTTCTTCAACGAGGCGAGACACAGGTGTCGCGGAAAACTTGAGCGGGTTGGGCGCATGCTCTGGCAACGTCTGGGACGGAGCTGTGGACAAAGATAAAATTAGAAACTCGTGGTCAGCGCGGGTAGCCGAGAAATGAGGCAAGAAGCAGATGCAGGCGGCCGCCTGTATCTGGGCGCGTTCGTTCGCCCAGGGGAAGAATAGGAGAAAACAGAAAGGGAGGTATTGAGGGTCAGGGTGTGAAGGAAGGGGCTCTTGGCACCACCCGTTGCCTTTTGCTGTTGCCCTGCAGAATGCGCGGGCTGTGCTATCGCGGAAGGCATGCCGAAGGCTGCGGTTTGACCTTGTACGGCGTGCCTAGATGAAGGGTCTGCGCGCAGTCCTATCGTCGACTGACTGCTGCATACAAATAGATGATAGCAGCCGCGAGCATGCGCCACGCAGTATGCACAAAGCTATACGCAGCATGGAGACCGACAATGGGCACAAATGGCACATCAAGCTCGTCATCCAGTTTCCAGCTTGCTGCCCGGGACGACCTCCTCAGGGTCTTTCTTTTATTCCATGCTGGTCGCACAACAGCTCGAGGCCCACGGCAGCGGGATATATGGATACGTCTGTGGATGTATTTTTATGTAATGGCCGGACGCGCAGAGTCTGGACTCACCCATGTTTCAACCGGCACAGGCTCTCAATTCCCATGTTCCAGCAGCACGCATGCCCCGGTGTTCGCCGTAGCTGCGTTGCTCTGATTCGCTAGTCTTCTTGTACACCGATAATATCGTCGAATTCGAATTGGCCGCACTGGCGGATGCCACGAGGTTGGCCGTACGGATGGAGGTGTCGGAGTCGTCGGGGGGCCGAGTGGACACGCGCAAATAAGATGGGTGAGAGGTAGGATGAAGGTGTCGAGCGTCGAGAAGATGGAACAGGACGATAGAAGAAAGAATGGCAATATGGTCAACCTCGGCGTTGTTGGGCTTGTGTATCTGGACAATCCGGTGGATCGAAAGCAAGGGCTCATTCAGGGAGAGGTGTATACAGCGGCGGTGGCCAATCTGGCGATGGAGCATGGCCACCCAGGCGTGGTTATGATGTGCGTTTCGGTGTCAAAAGGGGCAAGCTAGAAAGAGCCGATAACAACGGGAAACGATGATGTGTTGCGGTGCCTTTGGAGAGAATACTATCCGCTCCTTCTCTTCTTTTGCACCTGCGCCTTTCGAAGAAAAAAAGCGATGGTCGACTTGTTCGCTCTTTCTGCGTTTCCAACCGACGTTGCACGCGTTGCCAGCACGTTGGAACCTGTAAACTCCAATGTTTGAAATCCCTTATGCAGGCACATGTGGCATACTGTCTTAGACAGCCAATGAACGTCAAGGAGGCAGGGCAGAATCTGCTAGTCCCTTGCCAAAACTGGCTATTTGCGGGAGCAAATAGGGGCAAAAAGAAGGCAAGAGCCGTGCTGTGCACACCCTCAACGCGCATGCTTTCCACCACAAATGCCACAGCAAGATTCTCAAGCAGCCGCCCGGGGAGGAAACAACGGCCCAGTGGTCAGGGCCCACGATTGCACTTCAACTTGGCTGCACAGTTTAGCCAACCATAGTTCCCCACTCATACAAGTGCTTCTGGCCAATGATAACGTCGTTTACTGATGGGCAATCAACAACAATCGTTTCTCGCAATGCCGCAATGGCCAATTAATCGTTGACAACAGGCGACAAGAAAGCAACAACTCCAACAGCCAGACTCTCAACTCTAATGGACATATTTGTAGCCGCCTTGCCGCCTGTAAATGGCCTCATCGATGAAAACGTGACCGCTTTGAGCTGTTCACCCATCTTGATCACCGATTATTCACCATTCAATATGTCGAGCGCAAGTCGTATTGAGTTGGGGGAAGGATGGTTCAGTTATACCACCTGGTGCAGGCGGACGGACATCCGAAGCTGGCACGGGGACTTTTGCCGCCTTTGTCTAGTAGACACTCAGCCTTGAGCCCATTATGGAATTTCGCCAGCTACCACACCTTGTGTCATTAAAGTCCGCCAAGGATAGAAACCAGTAAAAACCAGTGCATAATTCAGGTTGAAAGATTATGGCTGTGGGGGAGTTAATTGCGATAGGTCGATGAGGATCTGACGAACATGAGGTTTCCTCTATGGCCGGCCGAATTGCGTCCGCAAAATGACAAGCCTCCATCCGGTATTTAAAACCCGAAAGCTTAGCTGTGGCCAGCATCGACTTGTATTCGCGGAGGCAAACAGAAGTCGGGCCTGCGACACGACGTCAGGTTCCTCTCAGTGTAATGATTTTGCTCCGCCAGTATACAAGATGCCATCGAGCGCGAAACTTGGCTTACAGGAGCATATGTACAAATGACGAGCGATTTGGCGTGTTATAATCCAGCAGGGCAGGGAAGGCCAGGTCATGACCGCCCACGAATACTCGTTCACGCATGATACACAAGCACAGGAACAGATGCAAAACGTCTTGCACGACCGCAAAGGTTGGCATGTGTTTTTTTCTTTTGGAATTTGGTGGCAGATGTTCCACGATGGGCCGGGAGGCTGCTGCTGCCTGTTGATCAATATGATTTCAAGATGCAACGGAAAGACTGAACGGAGGTTGAAGTTCATTGTTAAGCGTTCCGTTCCAACAATTTTACTCCACCGGAGTATGTCGTACAGTCCACCAACCGTCGCAGGGAGGGGATATCTGACATCGATGACGAGACGAGCAGAAACAACGGCAGTTATATTTTGTGCTTTGGGTTGGAGAATGTTACTCCAAAGTACAAACGCTGTGCAATTGAGTCTCCTCGGCGTTCCTGTGCATCGACACGTTTATAACGGGTGAAGCCGTGCATCCGTTTACTGCGACCTAAGCCGCCACACATCTTTAAACCGGCCTGGAAATTGAGTACATAGCCATCTCTGGTCGGTACTCTATGCAAGGCGTGGATACCTAGCAAGTGTGCATTGTGAAAAGTCCAGGAAAACTGGGCTGGATTTTCCGGGGGAAGATGTCTTTACATGCTCTACTTGGGAAAATTACTGGCAAAACATAAAAAGCAAGTCATGGGAGTAGCAGGACTGGCCTAATGAAGCAGAATATCAACAGCTTCTGAATGCTGGATATAGCCCATCGGAGACTCTTGACTTGACGGTATGTTGCTGAGCGGTCTTTGATATGCTGCTTTGTCAGATGCTCCGTTCCGAGAAAAAGACTGACGCCAAACGGCCGGCCAAGAACACACGCGACCAAGGCCTCGGGCGGAAACGCCCACAGAATGAGGGGTTAGCGGCTACAATTGAATGTTGCAAAAAACCCGTGGTAATTAGTTGGTGACGGCATAAATTGTCTCCCTTAGGTCCGTCTTGGATTTGCTTCGTGACTTGTACGGAGAATTAAAATACCCCATGTGGCGAAGGAATTTTGCATCCCCAGATCAACATAGCGTAATTTCGTAAAATACTTGCCCTGGCTGAACCCACGAACAGGATTGTCGACTAGAGAGTGTTCGGAGTCCTGTCCAAAGGGACGAAGCGATTCCGGATCGTGTACTGGCTACCACCAACAGTGCCATTAGCAGACAAGCAGTTGAGGCGACAGGGTCGGCTAGAGACAACGGCAGCAGTGGGCGTTTGTATAACGTTGCCACATACGACACTGCCATAGTGCGGAGACTCTACCAACTGTGGCAGGCAAGTCCCCACAGCCTCGGGCGAGTTCTGCCGATCCTGGCATTTCTTCATGCTAGGCGATGGCCAAAGTGCTCAGCACACCCATTTTCGAGCCTATACCCCGCCGGCTGTCAGTTTAGCGCTACTCTTGTCGCGGGCGAGGAATGTCATGGGTGCCTGTGATTTTTGCTTGCCACCTGCCGCAATAGCACCACCTGGGGAGGATACCATGTATTTATTTATTTTCTCTCGTCTGATATACTTGCAGGTCCGGTTTTCCCGAGTCAGTATTTCATGGCTTTATCTACGGCAACAGTACTCTTACTTTCTAGGAGATTAAAGTCCTGTTAGGACAGTTGGCGTGTCGAAAGGTAATTCAGTCACTGGCATAAATTGGGGGCGTAAGGGGAAGATGTTTGGGCGCCTGTTCGAAGATGCGCCCGATGGACGACGGCGTCATTCGACCCAGGACGTTTTATCTAGGAACTGTTCTCTATGCTTCCTTGGTCTTCCGATGGAAGCGGTTCCAGCTACAAGACATTCCGAACGCCATGATTTTGGCTTGCACCTGCCGTCGTCGTCGGAATGCATTGTATCTGCAAGGCGGCCTTTAAGTGGACAAGGTCGCCGAGAATTGCCTTAGCGCGCTGAGGGCGGAGTTCTGCAAGTTTGTAGTAGTTCACGCTGTTAAGATACTCCGTACATGTAGCTTCTTCCACAGTTTCTGCCTTCAAGAGCCTGCTATCTCCCGACGCACCTTCCGTCCCCGAAATTAGTCCGGCAGCGGAACCACCAGCGCCATGGTCTGTAGTCTTCAGTTCCACGAAGGAATAAGCCCACACTTCCGAAAACCGACCAGAACAGCTCATCAGCTTGTGATTCCCCTAACTATTGGTACCTCCACTCTCCACTTATCAGGGTCATTTTCGCTGTCTCCTTCCAGGCCTGGTTCTACCACCTTCCCCAGCTTCTGTGGTATCCTCTGGCCTGCCTCAGCGTGCTGTTCCTCCTTTTTGCTGCACTTTGGCGAAATTCCACTCCTTCCTTTTTCCAGTTGAAATTCTTTGATTCCTGTGCTTGTCAACATTCCCTCTTTCCCTTTTACCTTCTCTGCATATCCAGCTTCAATTTCTCCTCTAGCCTTCCTTCCTGTTCTCGTACCTTTTGCCTTTTGTCTCGTTCTCATTTTGTCGACGTGGCTGCTTCTGCGCTCAACCCCACCCGCTGGCTTCCCCACGCTCGGTCTCACTTGCCCTTCTCCCCTCTCCTCTCTCTCAAGCTTGCCCAGGCTTTGGGTAAGAGACACAGCGGATCTTCGTATCTAAGGCCAACGTGGTGCTTCTTTCCTTCCCCGTTTCTCAAACTGTTGTCTTGTAGCAACGTTTCGGACGTTATCTCACTCTTTTGGGCAGGCGGTGTAGCACCTTCTTACAGGGGTTGTGCCCATTACGAATACGAATCAGTGGCAGAAGCCCCGTCAATACAGCAAGGGCACTAAAAGTATCGGCAGAAAAAACGGAAACAGGGGCCATATATTTCGCGCCTTTCCGCCATTCCTTTCCCGCTTCTCTCTCGAACCTGGAACTTCTGCACCCTCTTGCTACAATCCGTTCACAGTTTTGCTCGTGGCCGCCACCTGTCCCCGAACCGCAATCATGGCGGAACTCGACACTTTGGACATTGTCGTCCTCTCCCTGATTCTCCTCGGTACTTTGGCCTACTTCACCAAGGGCAAGCTTTGGGGTATCGTCAAAGACCCCTACGGCGGATCGTTCAACAACATCAACTCCGCCAAGGCCGGCAAGACGCGCAACATCGCCGAAGCTCTCGAGGAGTCCAACAAGAACTGCATCATCTTCTATGGCTCGCAGACTGGCACCGCTGAGGACTACGCCTCGCGTCTGGCGAAGGAGGGCAAGAGCCGTTTCGGCCTCGAGACCATGGTCGCCGACCTTGAGGACTTTGACTTTGATGGCCTCGATAGTGTCCCTAGCGATAAGGTCGTCATGTTCGTCCTAGCCACCTACGGTGAGGGCGAGCCGACTGACAACGCTGTTGAGTTCTTCGAGTTCATCACGGCCGAGGACGCCGCTTTCACGCAAGGCGCCGATGTGCCCCTGGCCAACCTGACCTACGTCGGCTTTGGTCTTGGCAACAACACCTATGAGCACTACAACCTGATGATCCGTGCCGTTGACAAGGCTCTCCAGCGCCACGGCGCGACCCGCGTCGGCGAGGCTGGCGAGGGCGACGACGGTGCCGGCACCATGGAGGAGGACTTCCTGGCCTGGAAGGATCCCATGTGGGCTGCTCTTGCTGAGAAGATGGGTCTCGAGGAGCGCGAGGCTGTTTACGAGCCCATCTTCAGCATCACCACCTCGGAAACT